GATTCCAGCATCGGCAGTTCTTACTATCTCTGAGGAGGAATTACTTCTCTTAAGGGGTCATGAACCTTTGGAATTCAGTACAACAGACTGCAGTGGATGTTGGTACATTGGATGAATTTAAGAAGCAGTTAGACTAGTTTTTAATTATTAATGGATCAAAGGATAATGGTGAGTGGGCAGGATAATAGAGTTGTGGCCGAGATAAGATCAGTGATGATTGTATCAGCTGGCGGAGCAGGCTAGAAGAGCTGAATTGCCTACTCCTCCTAGTTCTTGTGACATATGACATTTACTGTGCAAAAGAAATGGAGACAAATTAGAATAAACCAAACTAATTACACATAACACAATTTTGAAGATTTCAAAACATGTAGTAAACAATAATCCCATTAATTCTAACAGTACCCCTTTACACTTCTTACAGAGAATTCCCTTTTCCATCATCTCCAAAGGGCTTAATTTAACAGTCGCTTCAGCTCTACCTTGAAAATTTAATAACTTCTTCCTTGAGTCTTTATACAGCTGAGCTTAGATTTTCTGAGTTTTAAAGAACGCCTTCATGGTTTTAACTAAACACTTCTGGACTGGAATTTAAAGATTAAAGATTGAGCTATTTCTTAACAGTTCTAAATTGCATCCTTTCTTCAGGAGCAACTGTCTTAAACATCTCGTTTCAGCCAAGACTTCTGTGAGACTGAGATCAAAAGGGCTTTCTTTAAGATATGGGTGTTTCCCTACTCTTTTAAAAGCGGGGAAAAAAATCAATTCTAGAAGTGTAATGAAGCAACTGTCCCTGTTTGCTCATAAAACTCACCCAATGAAAACAAAACCCCATTGCTGTCTGGAAAATCTGTCTCGTTCCATCTCATGCGCTCTGTCTCGTTCCACAGCTTCCACGTTTCTGTGGTAGAGAATTCCATACGCTCATGGCTGTCTGAGTGCAGACTTTTTTTGCCATCTCAGGCTGAACTGACCTGCTTAATGTCCTGAGATTCTGATTCCTCATTCTGGAACCTCTGTCCAGGGTAAACATCATTCTTGCATCCTGTCAGTTGAATCCTGTCAGAATTATTTTTCAATTTAAGTCCCCTCTTGTTTATGGGTCCAGTGAATACAGGCCTAATTAATCCAATCTCTCGTCATATGACAAACCTGCCAAACCAAGAATTAGTCTCGTAACCTTTGCTTTGCAGTCTCTATGGCAAGTAAATCTTTCCTTGCATAAGAAGACAAAACTCTACACAGTATTCCGGATGTGGTCTCACCAAGCTCTTGTACAGTTACAATAAGACTTCCTTGCTCCTTTACTCAAACCCTCTTGTAATGATGGCCAGCCATCCATTTGCCTTACCAGCTGCTTGCTGCATTTGCCTGCTTGCTTCACTGACTGGTGGACAAGGACAAACAGGTGCCTCTGTACATCAGCATGTCCAAATTGATTACCATGTAAATAATAAATGCTAATCTGTTTTTCCTATTGAAGTGGACAACTACAAGTGGAAACACTCATTAGTTTAGAAAATTATTATACATTTGGACTAGTGTAGTTGAGAGTGCAGGATAGGAAGGTGGACTAGGATCATGCAGTGGGCCAGACTTGGTTTTTTTGATTAATTGATTTCAATCAAATTGTTGGAAATATCTTGGCTGTTAATAAAATGTTTCTTTGAAATTAGTGTGAGCAGTCTCAATATAGATCATACTGTTCATCAGTCCACAGCACAGAAGTGTCCCAAATTTGACAGTGTGAGGACTGCTAGTGTGGGAAGCAATAATGCAGTGCCATTTTCTAGGCTGAAAACATGGAGGGCCCTTCTTTTTCTACTTAATCACGTTGTCACTGTCCAGGCAGTGCTTAATGTTATTTTCTTTCTCCAGCACTGTTATTCTCAAAGTTGAGGATTGTTGGTGCTTTTTGTAAGAAATAGATCCAATGGGATGCCATGCAGTTTCTTTATAAATTTCCTTTCCAAATCCACAATTTTTTGCACAGAAATTTCTACATTATTTTCTGGTATACAATGCAATAATCTGTTTACAAATTCAACAAGTAGTAGTATCTATTGTATTTCTGACTAGTATGACTTGTCAAAAAAACGTCAAATGGTGGAAACCTTCTACTGCTGTGTGATTTGTTCTGTGGAAGGTATAAATACCATTTGCTTACAAGGATACATGTTGGAACGCACATTCAGTTTCTTTCTTGGAGGACAGAATACTACTAAATGCTATTTTAATGTCAGGCAAATTTAATGCATCGTCTTTTTGAAAATTGATTTTAGGTTGGCTTGGCTTGATTCTGAGACAGCCCGCAGGCTGAGGGAGCTCAATGAACTCTGCATACAAGAAACAGATAGAATAAAGAAATTGAGGTAAAATTTCTGCAACTTCTAATGTTTATGTAGACTTTAATATGCTGAATCCTTGTTGATATTATACAAAGTACAAGCTACTAATTTTAGAAGGGAGATGGTAAATTTTATTTAGGTTTTGAATGCTTCCCAGCTAATTTTGAAGGGAATAAGTTGGATCATTTGAACTATAAAAATGTTGCCACACAGAAAGAAACCATTCAGTCCATCGTGACTGTGTCAGCTGAGTAAACTATTCCATTCCAATCCTGCTTTTCAGCACCTGGCCTATAGCCTTGCAAGTTATAGCATTTCTGGTGCAAATTCAGGTTCCTTTTAAATTAGTTGTGGATTAAAGTATCACAAATATTTAGTGATACTGTGGATGATTTTAAAAATTATTAAATATTCTTTGTTCAGATCTGAAGCTGACTCTCCCAACAAATGGATTGCAAAAGCAGAAGAAGAAATTCGTGAGAAACTTCAGCCCTTGCTGGACAAAGCACAGGTACCAAATATCTAATACTTTTAATTGGCACAGTTCTTATTCACTTTGCTGTTGGAACAATTAGACTTTTTGAATTGTGTATGTTATGGATTTACAACCATCTCATTAATATCTGTCAAAATGCCACTGTAGTTATTGAATCTAACATTTGATTCTGCTGCTGATATGGCAGAAATCTAAACAGTTCTGCTCACAGCATTCTCCCAATGTTACATGTGGGATCTATGATCAAAGTGGACAAAAAGTTGGCAAATGGAATATAATGCGAAAAAATATTCATTTTGGAAGGGTCCACTTTTATTTGTCATCATAAACAATTTGGATGAGAATTTAGGAAGCATGGTTATTAAGTTTGTGGATGATACCAGAATTGGTGGTATCGTGAACAGGTGAAGAAGGTTATCTAAGATTACAAAGAGATCTTGATCAATTGGGTTAATGGGCTGAGGAGTGGCAGATGGAGTTTAATTTGGATAAATGCAAGATATGGCATTTTGGTAAAACAAACTTACATAATTAATAGTAGGGCCCTGGGTGGTGTCAACCAGAGAGACCTAGGGGTTCGGGTACATAATTCTTTGAACTTTGTGTCGCATGTAGACAGAGTGGTTACGAAGGTATTTAGCACACTTGCTTTCATTGTTCAGACCTTTGAGTATAGGAGTTGGGTCATCATGTTGAGGTTGTAGAAGACCTTGGTGAGGCCTCTTCTGGAGTACTGTGCACAGTTTTGGTCACCCTGCTACAGGAAGGATATTATTACATTGGAAAGGGTTCAGAAAAGATTTACTAGGATATTGCCAGAAATGGAGGGTTTGAATTACGCTGGATAGGCTGAGACTTTTTCCCCTAGAGTGTAGGCGGTTTATAAAATCATGAGGGGCATAGATAAGGTGAATAGCAAGGGTCTTTTCCCTACGGTGGGGAAGTTCAAGACTAGGGGGCGTATTTTTAAGGTGAGAGGGAAAAGATTTAAAAAGGACATGAGGGACAACTTTTTTTACACAGAGTAGTTCGTATCAACATTTAAAAGACATGTGGATAAGTACATGAATAGGAAAGGTTTGGAGGGATACGGGCCAAACACAGGCAAGTGGGACTAGTTTGATTTGTGAAAATGGTCGGCATGGACTAGTTAGACAGAAGGGTCTGTTTCCATGCTGTGTGACTGTATAACTTAAATGGACAAAAACTGCAAAAAGCTACAACAAAAAGGGACTTGGAGGTACTTGTACATGAAACCCAGAAAGCTAGCAGACAGGTGTAGCAAGTAATTAGGAAGGTTAATGGAATGTTGGCTCTTATTTCAAGGCAGTTGGAGTACAGGAGTAGGAAGTCTTACTGCAACTGTACAAGCTGCTTATGAGATCACATTTGGAGTACTGTGCGCTGTTTTGGTTCTCTTGTTTAAGAAAACATTATTTCATTGGGAGAAATTCCGAGAAGTTCACTAGAATGATCCCTGATATGGATGGATTGTCTTATTAGCAAAGGTTAAACAGGGCGGGATTCTACTTATTGGATCTCATTAAGGTAGATAGGATTCTTCAGGGTCTTGACAGGGTCAATGCTGAGAGGATGTTTCCCCTCATGGGAGAATCTAGAACCAGGGAGCAGAGTCTCAGAATACAGGAGTGCCAATTTAGGATTGAGATGAGGAGGAATGTCTTTGGAACTTGCTACAAAGAGCTGTGGGGGCAAAGTCCTTGTGTATATTTAAAACACAGATTGATTTCCCTACAGATAAAAAAAATCTATGGTTATGGGGAAAGTGCAGGAAAGTAGACAATCAGGAGTGTTGGGTCAGTCATGATCCCATTGAATGGCAGGCTGGAAGGGCCAAATAACCTATTCCTGTTCCTATTTCTTATGATCTAAGTAACTGTTCATAATTTTTAAAAGATCTATCATTGCAGATAAAACTTGAGGAATGAGACTCCATTATGTAATCAATTGTCAGTGCCAGAGGGTTTCGTTGACTGTTACAGACATTTGGCCATTTCCATCTCCGTACCTTTTAAATGACAAGATTTGACTTTTTCTGGCAAGACTAGTTTATATCTACCATGCAAATACAGTAATGTGAATGGGATCATTGCAGTCCCATAACAAAGGAGCCAGAAGTGCTGTTTTCACAATCTATTGATAGAGAGTTGCATCTTGGACGTTTGGTTAGTTTGACATAAACTCTGTATGAGCTATTTGCCTGAAATTTCTGCATAAGTAGTAGTGAGTATTGGTGGTTTCAGTTACTTTGGCAGAAAAATATGGGATATGGTTCCTTTATGAACATCGAATATCAAGGGCCATAAAAGTGCTGGAAATGTGAGCAATAGTAATGAGGTATTAATAATTTGTGCAATTATGAAAATTTAAATGTAATAGTGAATACAGTGGCATAAGATATCCCATTTATTGTGTTGCAGCATAATTTGGATATTTTTGGCTGTCTACTAATGTGCTTAGCTAAGTTGCTCACTGCTCCACCTAAGTCAATGGGGGTTTCAAATTGCTTCAATATTTCCCTTTTCTTGGGTCAAATCCAGTAAGGTTTCAAAATTTTGCTGCAGATAATCTGTAATAGATGGAATTTATGGTTCTCATATGATTGGCAGCCTAAGATGTCTGATAAAACAATGTGCCTAAAATATCTGTAATGCTAACATGAAAATAAGAATGGCAGTATTTTAAAAGGTTATGAAATACTGGACTTTAATTTAGCTTGCAGATATGTCATACTGCTATAGAAACATGGGTTTGTTATTTTCAATAGGTTATAAGTGAATCTTGGGAAAAGAGAACTCGAAGTAAAGACTCTTCACTGCAACATCAACTGTCATTACAAGTTGCTGAAAAGGTAAATAGCTTTATAAACAAGTGATGGTACTTCACATCCAAGTTGATGTTAATGTAGAACTTGAACTTGTTACAGTGCTGGATGAGCCTTTAATTTTGTTACAATCTTGGTCGAGACCAATTACTTTTTATTTCAACAAATCTGCAATCCCAGCTGTGTAGTGAAAGAATGAAGCCACGAGATTCCACAGTTTAGAACTTCTTTTATAAACCACAGAAGAGTCAAACAAAGCAGACACTAAATACTATCTTAGATAATCATCTATAATCTGAAATGAAGAATCAATATAACTTCAATATGAATTGCAGTCAATTATAAACTGAATTGCAGATATAACTAAAATGGAGCCTATAAATTGGCTTCACAACGCTCTTGGCTTGTATGTTGTCAATCTTAGTCAAAATTCCTTTCAAAATCCGACTTCCTCACTGAACTCAGTTCTTCTTTTTGAGTTGGTCATGGATGCTGTCATAATAGGATCAGACTAGCTCCAAGTTCTATGGGCATGATCTCCACCCAAAATGGCACCTGTGTGCAGAACCTCCTCTCTTGTCTGGACAGTGAAGATCCAACAATGTAATCCTTCAGTAACAAAGACAGCTGTGACCACTATGCCTTTGCTTATTCCCAACTTTTACACCTAGCCCCTTTTATGTGCAAGTGGACTCAACTTCCACAGAGTTCTGATTGCTCTGTCTCCTTTTTTATTGTTTCAAAAAGTTTTGGTTTCCAATCTCCGTTTCAGTCTTCGTTTTCTTAGCAATTAGGAGAGTGAGTTTTCCATTTCCCTTTTCCATTAGAATCTGTCTTAGAAAATACAAGCTTTGATACCAGATTCTGTCACAAACTGGACAACTATGTAATTTGGGTACCTGCCTTAGAAAAGTAAGACTTATATTGTCAGTTTTTTTTTGTTAATGAGTGTACAGTTATTTCATCTCAATATTTTGAGTGATCAAAGTGTTTTCAAGTTTGAGAATGTCAAAAGTCTGATTGTAGGAATTTTTGTTTTTTTATTTCTGTATCTATCTTTATCATTACCAACTCTTACAATGCTTTTGTGCATGTATATTTCAAATTTCTGCCTACAATTCACAAGATTTACCATTTAGGCATTGTAAATACCCACGCAGATAATAAGTCTAACCTGTGACTCTTCCAATTTTTGTCATTGATTTGCACCCCCTTGTAAGATGTATGAGTACTTATATCTAAGCTAAACTAATTGACTTATAGTTATTTGATTCTGGCTTTTCTAAAGTTATTGGAATCACACTGAAATTCTTAAAATACAAGGGATTAGTGCACGATTCCAAAGTCCTGTTAAAAAGTATAGACCAGGGACTCCCAAAAAATTCCCTAATCCCTAAAGGAGCTGGGTTGAATATCACACTCTACTTTTTGAGTCAATTAGCAAGGTGTGATGACATTGTTTTGTGATTTAAGATATTCAGCTTGAACCTAATTCGGCACAAATTTTGGTGCTTTGACAGACTATTTGTGCTGTAGAATTTCAAACTTTGAAAAAAATTACATTAATTTTTTAGCATATATCTTCTCTGTAAAAGCAGAACAACCCTAACCATATCCAGTTGTTGAGAATGTATTATTTCCAATATTAATTATAAAAATAAAATTGTTCTTACAGGCTGCAGCTAGTGCGGACCTCCTTGGTGAAAACCTGTTAGATGAGCTGCTGGAGAACACAGCACATGAGTTATTGAATCTGGAACTAAATGCAAAAACTCATTCAGAAGCTCTGATGTTACAAGAAGGCAGCACATTAGAGAACATGTTACAGAGAATAGAGGAGATGGAAGTAAGTATATGTGATTTTGCAGTCACAGCAAAGTATTGACACTTGCTGCTAACTTCAAAGAAAGCTGCTCACAGAGATCTATTTCTGTAGAATAAATTTCACTTTTCTTCTTGATGTGGTTTCCCTAAGGATTGCAGTGTTTTACATTAAATTTGTTTTGTAAACCAAAGCAAATCACAGGAATGTTTTGATTGGAAGGTGATAAATTATATTGAAATATCTAGTGTAGTATTGAATCTGTTTAAATTCTCATAGCTAAAGGAAAACACATCAATTATACTGCTTTCAATTAGAAAATTTGGGCCTTGAATAAAATTGCAGACATTTGAATTTACCATGAGAGACTTTTAATAGTTTTACAAATTACTTTTAGTAACACAGTCTGCCCAAACTGATAATTTCTTCTCTTAACTATTTTATTTCAATATATTGTTAGAGATACCAAGAAGCAGTTTGCAGAAGAATTTGCCAGATTGAATATGCTGATCCAGACTTCTGGGCTGAGGAAGAAAAACAAGGTAATTTACCAAGAAGCTCTGAATCTTATCTATTCTAAATTTTTTTTTCTATTCATTCATGGGATGAGGGCATCATTGGCTAGGCCAGCATTTATTGCCCATCCCTAATTGCCCAGAGGGAAGTTATGAGTTAACCACATTGCTGTGGGTCTGGAGTCACATGTAGGTCAGACCAGGTAAGGTTGGCAGTTTCCTTCCTTAAAGGATATGAGCGAACCAGATGGGTTTTTCCGACAAGTGGCAATAGGTTCATGATCATCATTAGACTGTTAATTCCAGATAGTTATTGAATTTAAATCCACCAGCTGCCATGGCAGGATTCAAATCCAGGTCCCCAGAACATGACCTGGTTTAACAGTCCAGCGATAATACCATTAGGCCATTGTCTCCCCTGGTTTAGAATAGTTTAGGCTCTAGCACATAATTCTGACCTTTATTTGCTAACTTGGCCTATTCCTTTAAGGCCACTATCTGTGAAGAAGTGGCATCATTGGGGAATATAGTTAATTGTAGTTGTTTTTAAGTTTTAAATTTGCTTGCAAATATCTGCCTCATGGTCAGAATGGCCACAGTGAAATCATGTAGCATTTGAGTTTTCTTTAAATGTAATATTTATTTGGCTCTTCTGTGGCATTAGTTGGAGGAGGAAGAGGTTGAAAAGAAGAAAACGTTGCGTATTTCCTCCATGAAGAACATTTGAAAAGTTGTTTGTGAGATCTTCCCAGACACCATGAAATGACTTTTAGTTTTTGTCTTATCCCTGGTGAGGTAGTATTCCTTATCAAGTTAACGTTTGACTTCCTCCCCCAGCAAAGCATTTTTACAGAAGTTAATGCAGTATTAAAATAACCTGGGGTGGAGCTCTGGGTTGATGCACATTTTCGGATAATTAAAAGCGTGGACAATTATTGTTCACTTGATTCTGGTGGTTATCAGAAACTGTCCAGCCACACACATGCTGCTGTTCACCTTATTATTTATGCTACCTGGTTCTTTGGTGCTTCTGTCATGCAGTCACGTGGCAGGATAGATGGAAATGCTTGCTACTGCTAGAATCATCTGAAATTCGAGCTGCTAGCACCTTATTAAAGCTCAGCTACACATCACTCCAGACACTGCAAGCCATTCACACTTTAGGTGTCAACCAATGCCTAAAATGTGGATGATCAGGTTATCACATGATCTGAGTGTTCAAACTGACTACCTTGTATTTAGGGCCCATTATTTTGATCTCTGTTATTAATAGAACTGCTTTGCATCTATCCTATGTAAGTCCTTCATAACATTTAAGGACATCTGTTAGGTCACTCTACAGCTTTCTGCTGTTTATAGAAAGAGCTCCAGCCTTACTGATGAGTGTAACCACTTAGTTCTGTAGACCTATTTGTGTTCGTCCCACTGCCAAACTATTTTTTAATAATTGGAATCCAGAGCTGTGTACTCTGTAGTTGCATTTTAAATGAGAAACTGTGAGGTAATGTAGTGAAAATGTTGTACACACCGACAAAGAACAACACAAGTTTGACTGGGACAACACATCCATCGTAGCACAAGCCAAACAGAGACATGCCAGGGAATTCCTGGAGGCCTGGCATTCCAACCGGAACTCCATCAACAAACACATCAAACTTGAGCTGATATACAAACCACTGAAAAACAGAACTGGAAGTGATTGCCAACCATCCCAGCAAACTGAGGCATATAAATAATAAGTGGGACTGAACACCAATGCTTCACGGAAGGCGCACTGACAATGTTACCTAGCAGGCTGATAAAATGTCTGCCATCAAACACACTGGCTCGTCAAGCAAGTCTACAATCTCAACATTAAACTGAATTTTAGAATCTGTGTATAAGGCACCCATGTTTATGAAGAGCAGAAATAAAACCTGTTCAGCTATTTGGGTGTTTTGGGGAAAAAACTTGTTTATATATCATGTTTGATATTTGATATTTCTGTTCTTACAGAAAGAGAGTTTGTTTTAATTGACACAAAGCCACGCACCCCACAACCAATCAGGATCACCAGAACTATTGATCAAAGTGAGCCAACATTGGACAGAATAATTCAAAAGTCTTTGGAAGCTGAGTAAGTTATAAATGTATTGCTTCATTTTGGTAATATATTTGTAATTCTCTGTCTCTGTCCCTCTCTTTCCAAGATAGTTTCTGAAATATTACAGACATTGTTGCTTTTGTACTTACAACTGAAATGATGTAAAAAAGGATACTTGAATATTGTTCCCAGATATCTAGTTGGATTTGAGTGGATTTATCCTATCAATATACCATTACGACCATCTGTACATAGTATTGAGAAAATATACATCTGTGTCATCTTCACCTCATCCAGAGGAAGCACTTTTAAGTAATCTTTATTTTATTTGAAACTTGTGAATGCTGGAATTAATAATTTAGAAATAATTGCAAAGTAGTATAGAACTTAAATATTGCTAAATAGATGCATGAAGTTGAAGCTTTTCATCTTGCATTCATCAGGATTGAAACACAAAGACAACTTGAAAAGGAAACAATTTATACAGCATGAGAAGAGGGTGCTGAAGACACAAAGGAAGATGTTGCAGCGCTAGAAATTAGAAATAAAAACAGGAAGTGCTGGCGAATCTCAGCAGGCTAGGCAGCATCTCTGGAGAGAGAAACACAGTTAAACTTTTGAGTCCAATATGACTCCTCTTTGGAAGAAGTCATATTGGACTTACCAATTCTATCAGACCTACTGAGTTTCTCCAGCACTTTATTTTTGTTTGAGAAGAGGATGCTAATTGGTTAGACTATGATTGGCATGGATAGGTAGCAAGAACTATTAATTGTTACAGTTAACTGATTAAATTCAAACTTGGCAGCCATCACGAGTTGCTATTTTCCAGTAAACAGGTGGTTTTTATCCACCAGCAGGATGCTGGTGTCAAGCCTGAGAAACATTTTTCTTACAACGCAAATGGGTAATGAGGTGTATGAATTTCAATGTCAGTGTAATGCTAGGCATGTAGGACCCATGTCCCAACAACCGTATCAAACAACCTGTTCCTTTGTCCACAGTGGTAGTATGACGACCACATTCAATCAGCCTATGCTTGCACAGCTCAGAAAGTAGTGGTCAACATTTGATGTGATTCTGCTATTAAATGATCCTTAATAAATAATCCAGATTCTGCTAAGAGTTACACCAGAATCTAATTTAAGATCATCAGTCAGGCTGACTGTGATCATTTGCACATGCTAGAATATGCATTTATTCATACACTGGGTCCTGTTCTTTGTAGGCATAAAGAATCCCTCTGCACTTTGCACCTTTGTCACTGAAGAAGGGGCTACAGGTGCAATTAAATCACGCTGTATATCCATGGCATGCCCTGACAGATCAGAGTTGACTTGCCTGGTTTAAATTAAACTGATTTAATTTAGAAACCAGAGAAAATATACAGAACTCTATTCTTCCTCCATTTAAACAACATTGAGCATTAATTTTAACTACAATAGATGGATTCATCTCTTTGTGACATAAATTTGTTGCTCCTTTCAGAGATTTCATTTGTCATCCCAACCCAAAAGGCTCCTGACATCTGCTCTAGAGAAGTCTTAAAAGAACCATGCATAATAGACAAATTGATTACTTATTCCAGTATTCTACTCTCTATCATCATGTGAACAATAACTCCCACGATTTCTTCAGCAATTCCATTATCAGCTTGGCAATTACTCCACAACAGAATCATAGAATGCCTGCAGTGTGGAAGCAGGCCATTCAGCTCATCAAGTTGACACAGACCCTCCCAAAGAGCAGTCCACCCAGACCCACCTCTCCTACCCTGTCCCCGTAACCCTGCATTTCCCATGGCTAGTCCACCTAACTTGCAAATCTTTGGACCGTGGGAGGAAACCCACGCAGATACAGGAAGAATGTGCAAACTCCACACAAGACAGTCGCCTGAGGGTGGAATCAAACCCAGGTTCCTGGCCCTGTGAGGCAGCTGTGCTAGCTTGCTTTGAGCTTTTTGAGACTGAGAATAAGAGAGAATTCCTTGAGGAAAGACACACTTACCTTTTAGGTGGGACTGAATTCCATATTATAATTCTCTTAATCTGCTTGACCATCCTAACATGGTGCAGACCTTTGCAACATCAAAGTTTGGACCACATTTGGAATATTGTGAGCAGTTTTAGACCCTGTATCTAAGGATGGATGTGCTGGCGAAAGGAGGTTTAAAAGAATGATGCCGGGGATAAAGGGCCTGTCATATGAGGACCAGTTAAGGAATTTGAGTAAAGACCCAACGAATTTTAGTAGGATTGGTGGGGAGGGGTTGGAAAGTGGGGTGGGGTGGGGAAGAGGGGAAATCTGAATGAAACTTACCAAATACAGAGAGGCCTGAATAAAGTGGAAATGGAAAAGATGTTTCCACTAGGAGGAGAGATTAGGACCTGAGAGCAAACCTTGAGCATGAAGGAGTGACCCTTTAGAACTGAAATGAGCAGGAATTTCTTCAGCCAGAGAATAGAAAATCTGTGGAACTCATTGCTGAAGAGGGCTTTGGAGGCTAAGTCATTGAGTGCATTTAAGAAAGAGATAGATAGGTTCTTTATTAATAAGGGGACCAAGGATTACAGGGAGAAGGCAGAGTGGGGTTAAGAAACATACCCCTGAAGGAATGGTGGAGCAGGCTCAATGGGCAGAATAGCTAATTTTGCTCCTATATCTTCCGGTCTTATTTCCTTCTACTTCCCGTCGCTCCTAACAGAGAATCTAAAAGGTTAGATGTGACGGTACAGTCAATACTGATGAAGTCAGTTTTAAAATCCAGTGAACCAACTATGCCTTTAAACTTCTAATGACCTTTCTGGAGAACCTTTTGTGGGAATGTATGGCATTGTATAAATTAGTGAGACTGTGCTTGTGCAGATATTTAGTTTTTCAACACAATCTAAATGGCAAAAGAAAAGAAAGCATAAAAAGTACTTACAATAGCAATTTTGTATTGATATAGTGGTATAATGCCGTGAAATGTTATAAAGTACTGCAGGTGTGTTATCAACCAAATTTCGACACTGCCATGTCAGGATCCATTAGCACAGGTGACCAAACGTTTGCCCAATGAGGCATCTAAATGGAAGGCAATGTATTCGAGAGACAAAGAGGCTCAGGGAAGAATTCGGGAGCCTAAACCCAGGCAGTATGCCAATAGGATGTGAGTAAAATGCCCAAGAGACCAGAAATGGAGGAGCTTAGAGATTGTAGAGAGTATACAGAGACAGTGAAGGGTAAGGCCATGCAGGGATTTGAAAACCAGGTTAAGAATATAAAAATCTAAGCAAATTGTAAACCGATATAGATCACCCAAGTGATAGGTGATAGAACAGGATTTGCTGCAAGTTATATTACGAGTAGCAGAAATTTGGATGAGTGCACATTTATAGAAGGTGAACTATGGGAGTCATCGTAGGTGTCAGGAGATTACCAGGTAATATACCAGAGAATCGGATTCGTTTTCCACAAGTATTCATGATCAGTCTGTTACATGAGACTTATCTCCTGTCACTAATAAATTATAATCAAGGTCAAGTTTGTTTGTTTTAATAAAAATAAAGGTGTTATTGTCATACTTTTATTTTTATTTAGCCCTGCTGAGGATTTGGAATGGAGTGGAAAGCCAGGACCTGCTTCACTGTTGGAACCATTAGCCCAGAAATTATCCAGGAAAAGGCAGAATGGGATTGAACTTTCAATACCACAAAAAATGTTTCAGCATATACTTGACTACCGTGAAAGATTTGACCAGCATCTGAAAATGATTTCACATGAGGCTGTAGGGAGCTTTAACCCTTGGTTAATTACTGAAAGGTAATTAATAAATTGTTTCATTGGGCAAATAATACACTCCATATACTGTCATTATTGGTTTATTTAGTTTATATTTATTTATATGAATGAGTTTTTAAATAGCCCATTATAGCTTTGCAAAACCAATTGAGTTTGTTCTAGCTTTCATCATTCCTTTGCAGTACTTAAGCCAAAGTACTATTCTCATTTAAATTATCTGCCATTTATTGTTTCTCTTTTTCTAAAAAAAAAGTAGCTTTCTATTAAGGACAGTATCATCAGGTCTTTAAGTTCTTTTATTTCAAACTGGTTTGAAGTGGAAATGGGACAGGGACTTGTGGCAAATGAGATATATAAACCAAGATCAAATTTACAAACAGAGTGGATATGTTCAGCATTGGGAGCATCATTTGACATTTACTGTTTTAACAGCAGAGAGTGTAATTTTGTCAGCAATGAATACTGGTGTTGGAACAGAAAATAGTGGAAATCAGCAGTAGTTCAGTCAGCATTTGTGGACAGGACAGAATCACTTAAATTTTGGATGCAGGCCTTTCTTCAGAATTGTTCTGTTAAGTTTGTGCCAAAACATACTGGGTCTGTTCCCTCCACAGAGTCTAACTGATCTCCTGTACCTTTCAGGCATTTTGTTATTTTTGTTTTTGCTTCAGATTTCCAGTTTTTGCACTTTTGTTTTAGATGTTCAGTGAAGATTATACATGAGATTGGAAGAGGTAATTGTAAATGGATATTTCAGCTCCGGACAAATGTGTGTTGAAATGACTGAACAAGTATTACATGAGCTGCGGTACTTGAAATGTCCTAGGGAACAGGACAGAATTAATGATCATGTTTGTCCTTTTAAGAAATTGCACTTTTAGGAAATTATACCTTTAGGATAGGAGAGAAAGGGGGAATGTGGCTTAATGGTGGAATGTATCCAGCACTTTCTATGGTTTTGTTTAAAAAATTCAGCTTGAACAAAGATTTTTTAAATGTGTAGATAATATAAATATGATCTTACGTGCTGATTGTTTTGCTACAATTGTGAAAAAGATTATCCATTTCTATTGAAAGAAAGTTCAAAGGGATTTGAAATACATGGCTTTTGAGATGATGCCAAATAAAGAATTTGTAGATGATGTCAGATTTTACATAGCTATTCAAGATAGGTTTTTTAAAAAGTTTGAACTACAGGAGATATTTATTGTAATTGATTAATGTATTTGCATGGTTAAAGATAGAATATACTTCAAAATGATCACACCTGAATGTGTTTCAAATAACTACCTAAATAGGTGCAACTTTCAACTTTAGATAATGATTGTATGATAAATTTAATTTGATTTGCCTTGTCTGCAATTAATGTTTGTAATTATATTGTCCGTGTCTTGTCATTCATTCTAAAAATATGCAAGTCAATTTTGCTTGAGTATCATTAGTTTAGACGTTTGGTTAAAGACATTTGCCTCTCTGCTTAAAGGTTTTTAAACATCGGCTGGTGAGATGATGCTGTAATGGTAATGTCATTGGACTAGTAATCTAATGTTCTGGGGATTTAGTTTTGCATCTCAACATGGCAGATGGTAACATTCGGATTAAAGAAAAATCTGAAGGAATAATAATGTTACCACTGCCAATTGTTGCAAAAATGCAGCTGGTTCACTAAAAAGGAAATCTATCATCTCTACCTGGTCCGACAGCAATGTGATTCACTCTTAACTGTCCTCTGGGAAATTAGGGATTGGCTATGGCACTAGTGACATCCATATTGCAAGAATGAATTAAACAAAAAAAAAACTGAAGGTTAATAAATTATCTTCTGTAAAATTAATTTTGTTTTCAATTATCTGAAGTAGTTGGAGATTGTGAAATAATGTCGTGACTGGAAGGATACCAATGCAATTCAACACCTGCTGATATAAATAACCAGTTTAATTTGAACAAGCTTTTAATCACTGCAGGATTTTGCAGAACAAAAACAGCTGGAAGATCTACTAATGGAGACCAGGGCTTTGATCTGTCACTTTTTATACCAATTTGAAAATACTTAAATCTTTCAGGAACTTTACACCCAATAAACATAAAAATCAGAAGATAGTGGCTTTTGTTTAATTGATTCTTGGAGAATTAACCGTCTTAATTGTGCTCCAAAAGGCATAGTACTTTTAAGATGGAATTGGGAATAGAGACTGTACAACCTTGATATGGTCATTTATGAAGAATTTATACAGCAGTATTTAAATTTTTAACTGCAATTTTTCTAGTTACAAATATCAATCTTCTGACCATTAATAACTCTTCAGGAGTGAACGAAAAGGATTTCCTTGATTTCTTGTAGCCTCCACTGAATCTAGAATTGTATTTCTTTTACACAATGCTAAATGCAGATATCTCGGGTGCCTCTCTACATCATTCAAGGAATGCTTGGTGCAGATCAATGACAAATTCATAGTTTTCTATGCAAATGCTTACAAGCTCAAATGGCCCACTTATCTGCAATGTATTTATGTGCTATCTGACATTTTTCAAATTTTTACTGTGGTGCAATTCCCTATTGCTTCAGAATATGAATGGTTAAGTAATAATAACATCCATTATGCTGAAGAGTTTGTAACATGTTGATAAATGAAAAGATATATTTGTTAAATGTTCTTAATGAAAATGCGGTTCCTACAATGAAGTTATAACCCTGGACTTCAAGTAGATTGGCATCACGCAACATGCTTGAGAGCACAATAGACCTCAATGCAGAAGTTTTCATCTTCATTTTATGTTTTGTTTTCATTGTTTTATGTTTTCATTGAAAACATTCATTCTTTTATATGAAATAATTGTCTTGGTTTGAAACAGGCCGTTAAATGCAGGTTTATTTTTTTCTGGAAGCGTTAAGCATTGGAACGGTTGAAAAATCTAAGCAGGAATATTAATTCAGGATGAGAAACACAATGTACTTTTGTAATCCAAGACTACTTTTTAACCCATGATAAGCATGCCAATTATTGTTGTGTCATTAATTTCCATTTGTAAAAGTTCACTTGATGACTGATTAACTTTGCTGATATGTACTGTTCTTTCTTTTCTCTCTCTCTCTCTCTCTCCTAGCTTGGCTGAAGAGCTAATGGATGAAGGTCTAGGTGATGTAGCAGATGAATTGCAAAATGTATGTGAGGAGTATGCAGAAGCCTTGTTCACTTCTGAGTTTGTGGAGCCTGTAGAGTGAAAAGCAAAACAAAACTGAATATGCCCTAGAATCACTGGAAGAGATATTTAGCTCGTCTCCTGAATTCTCCAAAGAAGCATATAAATTATCACCTGAAAACATGTGACTAAAGCATAACTTGTACATTGTACATGTAATGCTTATCACTAATTGATAAGATTGTTCTTCAAATTCAATTTAATGTATAACAATTCTTTTATTTTACCTTTAATCTTGTCATAAATTTTAGTGATTGAAAGTGTTGTGGTATTAATTTCTTTTTATTAACATTTCTCAAAATAGACTTTTAAAGCCATGTGGAACCTGCCTACTTTTACCAAATTTTCCTTGTTTCATTTCAAAGTCTGAACCGTTTTCACATTTTTTAATACTGATTTTGTGGTCAGTTCTCAGACTGAGTGAATGGACCATGTCCTCAATACGATGTAATATCAATATATTTCCCTGTTGCCATGAATACTGAACACATTAATCTCACCATCCTTGGCTCCAAGCGGTATATATGTAAATGAAATTTTCCTACACTTTGGAATTTTTTATCCTTCAGGACAATTAAACATTGTGCACATGCTTGTTGCTTTCACAGTTGTACTTTGTCTAGCTTTGAGATTTATTTAGCAGCAGTTATGTACCCTGTTTTCCTCCAGATGTACAATATTTGTGTTTCTATTGGTCTTTAAGTCAAACTTTATATTTCATGAGTATTGTGCGTACCTGTTCTCTGGCTCTACAGGTGTCCAGCTGGTAAAACATTCTGCAGCTCTAATCCCGAGTAACAATTACCAGTAGAGTAAGGTACTCTTACAGTCAAGATGGGAAGGAAAGTACTACATGTCTGGTTTCAGGTCAGATGCCAGGAAGTGTTCCTTTATGCAGAAAATAGTCCGTAATTGGAATGGATTCCTGGACGAAGGTTGATTGACTCAGGATACTGGATATTTTTTACAGAAATGGTAAAATCATATAATTGGTATCTTAGAAAGATGCGATCAAACAACCCATTACATATTTATCTAAATCGTCATCTCTGCTACATTTTTGAGGTCTAATTTTCTGGCAGTTATGAACCATTGCAGCCAGACTCTTGTCTGAAACAGATAAAACATTCATAATTACATGTACTTGGTTGGATGGGATTGATGGAGGTGTTATCTTGGGATGGAGGATAGTCATTTATTTTCTAGCTCAGTTCATTTAGGGCTTTAGAAACTTTTTAAATTTTGGAATACATTTTGAGTTTTTTTTTAATCTACAGCGATCTGAAAGTGCTGAACTGATGTGGTCTGCTTTTCTAAAATATTGCTTTTCACTGTTCCATACCAAAAGAGCATTCAATCCCTGAACACGTGCTAAGTTTCAGCTGCAGTTCCTTGTCAAATAGTCATACCACTTGGTTTCACATCTCCAAATGTCGAGCTTCCTCTGTTGAGTGCATTTTGTGCTAGCAATTGGTCCACTACTGATTGCACATCCACTACTGGCTTTTCCTGGCTATTCCCACCCGTTTATACACACAAGTGAGAGTAACTTGCAATGAGTTAATGGACATAAAATGTAAATGTACCTCCATTAGAATTGTAATTAAATAAGAACTTTGACAGCTTTAAAGGTACTCATTACATGATAAACGTATGATATTTCTAAAAGAAGTGATAACATGTATGTTGACAAAACAACATGTTTATTTTGGAAGGAAGTTATGTAGACTTGGAAGATAATTACAAGTAGGCTGTCTTCTCTTCAAACACTACTGATTCCTGCATGTAATATAAATCTTGTGGTAAATGTCAAAGTCAACAGTTTTAGGCTGTTACTGATGGCGGAGTGATGAATTTACCCTCAGTTTGGCATTTGAAGATTAGCTAATTGATCATTAGTTACCATTTGGCAAAAATGTATTGGTATTTAATTTACCACTATAAGGGATTCATTATTTTATTAGCAATATGGCAGAAACATTAACTAAACCTAACATCTGCATTGCTTTAAAATTAAAAATGAAGTTTTCACAAGAACCGCTTAATTTTTAAATTCTTTTTAGGTCATTGAGCATCTCATCCTTATTCAGTGAACTATTGATTAAAATCAAAAAAACTTTATTAACTAAAACCGCCACGTTAAAAGAAATAAAATGTACAATAATCATAAAACCGATGCACTAAAATAAATCTATAAAAGCAAACAATAAAACATGCAATTAAAACAAGCAAGCCATTAAAATTTGTCCTCAGAGCATAACCGGAGTCTGTCAAATAATCTTAACAGTCAGTAAAAATTTGCAACATTTTGAGAGTCAATGAGACAGTTAAACGAAATACCTCCTGGGCAAGCAACTTAAAATTTCATATCACAAGACAGTTCATGTGCTTATTGTTTGCTTCTGCCCACTTCCCTCTTGCACCCATAACGCAACCGTAAAAC